GTACTCGTCTCTCGTACTCTCGTACTCTCGTCTCTCTCTCGTACTCTCTCTCTCTCTCTCTCTCTCTCTCTCTCTCTCTTCTCTCTCTCTCTCTCTCTCTCTCTCTCTCTCTCTCTCTCTCTCTCTCTCTCTCTCTCTCTCTCTCTCTCTCTCTCTCGTGCTTGTCGTGCCTTCTCTTTTACAGCCCTGGCCTCTGGTCGAATGGTGGAATGCAGTCTCATTCCTGCAGAGTACATGGACTGGACCTTCAGAGTGTGTGTGTGTGTGTGTGTGTGTGTGTGTGTGTGTGTGTGTGTGTGTGTGTGTGTGTGTGTGTGTGTGTGTGTGTGTGTGTGTGTGTGTGTGTGTCTCTATAAGTGTGTGTGTGTGTATCCATGCTCCATTTATGTTTATGCGTCTGTCTGCAAATGTGCTGGCCGTGGAACCTCCAATTCAGTGTGTGTTTTGGCTGCAGGTCGGGACATATGGGAGTGTTCACTGTGCAGCACTGGAAAGACATGAGGACTTTCTTTCTTCTCAATCTTGAAGCTTCTAAACTTATTCCCACAAGGAGACAGAAGAAATGGTAACTTCTAAACTCTTTCCGTCTCTGTGATCTTTCATGTCTCTATCATTTCCACCCTCTTTGCAACACCGTCATCTTGTTGCTCTGAAACCCTCCTTTACTCTTTCAACTTCTCAATCTGTCTCTCCAGGTGTCCCCAACCCTCCTCTGTGTACTGTAATCATAATCATCACGAGTCATTCTGCCCTGTCATCCTGAGCAGAGGGGAGGTGAGTGTCTTTGAGAACAATGGGAGGAAGGCTGTGAGTTGCTAATCCCACTCGCTCACTCAGCCCATCCAGACACCCACACCACTGTCAGGGGGTGCCAAGCTGCCTTTCACAACTCCATCCAGCCACAACACAGAGCAGAGTGTGTGAAGCATGCTGACTCATATGGACTTCCTTTCTGGTGTGGTGAAGACACTTTGGGTATACAGACTGACCTGTTGGCCACCATCATAAAGAAAACACCACCCTGAGGCCACTTGGTAACAGCATTAGGAAAGTTTTGCATATTCCATTCCTTACCTCACATTTAGGGCGTTTTCTCTACATTTTTTATTTTAGTGCCTCTTTGTAAAATTCCTTCTGATAAAGTAGGGACAACTATTTCCACTTGTTAAAAAAGTCAAATAAAGATGGACTATGCATGGTTGTCTGAACTCAGTTGAAAGCAGACTGCCAAGATCTCCTCGGAGAACCGGGGACCGACTTTACCACCGCCCCGCTTCCCAGCATCGACAGTCGGTCATGGGACTGCGAGGCCCGCCGCCAGCTGGCCAGAGATAACATCTTTGATGTGTGACGCAGCGGGGAGACGCCTCCACCATGCCGACTCTCACAAACTGCAGGAAGAATAAAAACATTGCCTCATTTCACTGCAACGTGGACTTATTCATAAAAAAATGTTGTTTTTCTGTTGGGAAACAAACCGAGTTTTGAAAGACAACTACTGGTGCCATATTAAATTAAAACTAAACACAAAGTCCTCCAAATGAGTCATTTCAAAATAAAAATAAATCATGAAAATGACTGAATTAAACACTTTGAGAGGAGCAGCTTGCATTACAGTGGCTTCCATTAGACTATTGGGCCTATTGAAAATGTTGGTAAATAAATCCCTTTGATCAGATAACTGCTGGGATTGCTTTCAGGGTTGATACAGGTGTGCAGCAGGTGGATCAATCAGGTGCATCTTTAGACCTTGAGCTCGGATCGACGCGGGCTTTAGGACCCCGGGATGAGCTGGGTGAGAGGCAAAGTGTGCGCACCTACATGAAAGAAGAAGTTGAGGGGGTGTCTTGAACCTGCCTCGTCTGTCACTCCCATCCCAGGTCTGCTGCTCCATGGATGCAGCGATACACTCCAGAAGACTAACGGGGCTAGTTATTTAGCCTGTCTTTCTGCTTTTTGGATTATCCATGCAGTGCTGAAATGTAATCGAACTCAAAGTTGAGTCAAAGCTAAAAAAAATGGGTCATTCAAGGTGGGTCAATTTCCTATCCTGTTCTCTGCACTCTTCATGATGAGGCTGTGGGGCAGAGCCATAGTCCGGAGGAGGAAGGTGCTCTGCCTCTGGCTGCTACTGCTCGGGTTCGCCCTGGTAACTCTGGCTCTCTCGGACCTCTTAAACAGGGACCGAGTCCACAGTCACCACAATCCTGTCCCTCCACGCCGACCCCTCCAGGGGATCCCCAATGACCTGGAGGTCATCGTGGACTCGCGGGACCCTGCATTAGAGCTCGGTGTGGATCTCGCCCCGCTAAAATCTCTGCAAGAGGACCAGCTTTTATTTGTGCCATCTATGCAGGGCACCAAGAACCCACAACAGAGGAAGGGAACTTACAAGGTGCTTCTGCCCGGAGCAAATAAGGACACCCGCACCCCTGCGCCCCCGACGCACGGTGAAATGGGGAAAGCGGTGCAGCTGGAGGAGAGGGAAGTGGAATCTTCTGTGGTACAGAAATACGGCTTCAACGAGGTGGTCAGCGAGAAGATTTCTCTCCATCGCAGGCTGCCCGAGGCACGACATCCCGAGTGAGTGCACGGACTTAAAATAGGCTATAGCCTACACCAAGACTTATCAGCCGAACCGACCCAACTTCTGATGCTTTCAAAGTAAATGAATGTGTCGCTTTGATCTGCATTTGCTTTCCACTCCACAGGTGTTTTGGGGAGCAATACAGCGAGTCTCTGCCCTCTACCAGTGTTGTTATCTGTTTCCATGACGAGGCTTGGTCCACGCTCCTGCGCACCGTGCACAGCGTGCTGGACACGGCACCCAAACAGTACCTGCAGGAGGTTCTGTTGGTGGACGACATGAGCCAGCACGGTGAGTTCCTCCATCCGGCCACATCAGTTCATCCATCCATGACCTGATCTGACCACGTGTCCATGCCTCTGTTTACTCCCCAGGTCACCTGAAGAGTGTGTTAAGTGAGTATGTGTCTCATCTGGACGGGGTGCGTTTGATTCGCAGCACCAAGCGCCTGGGTGTTGGAGGGTGTCGTACTCTGGGTGCTGCCAGAGCTGCAGGGGAGGTGCTGGTGTTCATGGACTCCCACTGTGAATGCCAGAAGGGCTGGCTGGAACCACTGCTGGAAAGAGTTGCCCAGGACAGGTACTCACATCTAATTGTGTGCAAAAATAATGAAACTGTGCAAAGTTATTGGTATTCCAAAGCCTGATTTTTCATTTGAATGACACTAATTCTAAATGACTGTTGGTTGAATCCCAAAAATATAATATGTAAACTAATTAGAGTTTTGTCACAGAGAACAATTTATAATAATAATAAATTGTATTTCTATAAACTCGAAATCACTTTACAATAAGGGGAGGGTTAGAATTAAGACATACATTTGGTCTTGAAAACAACAACCCAGCAGTGGGGCCCAAACTCTGTCTGTTTCTTTCTCTCCTGTGTTCTGCTGTTTGACAGAACCACTTGGGAGAAGTGAGAAAATGGAGGGTTCAGAGTTGCTAGTTGTCTTTACTCATTAGTATGTCATGGGAGACATGCACTGTGGGTGTATCCAAAGCTCAGCTCTCATTATTTGGCTCCAGTCTTGTGTCTCAGGCTGCCTGCAGTGTGGCTCTAATTAGACTAGGTAATTAGGCTGAACTCTCAGACCTGGAATCTGCAACCGCTCAACTCCACAGCCACATATTTGACCCTTTTCCCAACCCCCCTATGTTTAATCTTCTAACTTAATTTCCTCCAAGCATCACCAGGCGAGAGAGAAATATCTGAAACAACATATGTGAACCAGAAAAGACTCCAATAAACTGTGCGTGTTTCAAAACTTGGCTTGGCGACATAAGCCTGAGACACATTAAACACATACTGTATATTGGCAGTTAAAAAGAAACACGTAAACACAAACTGATGAGAAACCTTTTGTTCTTCTTTACTCATTGCACACAGCCCAAGGGGTCAATAAGCCACTTGTCAGAAGGTCCCATGCAATCTATCTTGTTGGGAAGTCAATAAAAAACATTGACAAGGAGAGCAATTATGACCACAAAGAAGGCAAGAGTCTCAAAGCAACAGCAACAGCATCAAAGAGATGCAAAACAGCAACAAAACAACAACAGTGACACAAAAAAAACACAGATATTCAAAAAGACAACATGAAACATTTTCTAAACAACTAAAAAGAGATGCAAAATGACCACTAACATATTTAAAAATACTTCAAAAGACACAACACAACTCCAAAGAGATGCAAAACAACTCCAAAGTGACATAACATGACCACAAAGAGACCCAAAATGACCATTACTAAGAGGGGGGGGTAGAATACTAAGTGAAAGTTGACCAAGAAAAGCTGGTACTTTAAAAGGATATTAGCTTATCAAATCTTGACTGTGAAAACATATTTTGAATTCATAACATCAGCCTCATTATGAATTACCATACTTGATGCATTTCAATACAAAAAAAACATATTTTAATGACTGTTCCTATTAATGTGGGGTCTGTACGCAGGACCAGAGTGGTATCCCCCATCATGGATGTGATAGACTGGCAGACATTCCAGTACAATGCCACCCAGTGGCCAGTCAGGGGAGTGTTTGACTGGAGACTGGACTTCTACTGGGAATCTAAGCCTGAGCTGCAAGAAAAGGACCCAGACTCAGCAGTTCGACCTGTGCAGTGAGTTCACAGCTAGATGATATCAATTGTGCTCCCATGACACGAGTATACAGCAGTTTAATATAGAAGGAATGTTGAATAAAGCCTGAGAGGAAGCACTGATCACATTTTTCACGAGAGCATAAAAGGAGATACAAATGGTTCTTTCTGTAAGTGCTCATAGCTCATAATATACAGCAACCTTGACAAGGTGTGACTTTGTGGCTCATAAGCCAAAAGGAACCACTGCTCTAGGCTGTTTTCTGAGATCAGTGTGTCCTTGCTAACTTAGACTGGAGTTTTATTGTCTCTCCTGTGTTTGTTCTTGGCAAGTGATTCAGATTCTGTACCAACAGGAGCCCCGTGTTAGGAGGCGGAGTTGTGGCTATTGACCGACATTTCTTCCAGAGTGTGGGAGCCTACGACCCTGGGATGCTGCTGTGGGGAGAGGAACAAATTGAGCTGTCTATCAGGGTAAAGCAAAACATATTTAAATTATCAATTTTCCTATCCAAGTCCTCCAATTCAGCTGCTCACACAGGACTGAGGGAAGACAGATTGCATTGGTTATTCATCCTAAGTCACCTCATCTTTTTAAGCGATGCTTTGGCTGAGTGATTCAGTTGCCTTCTGTCAGGGACTCAGGAATGTAGTGCTGGGACATGATGCCTTTTCCAAATGGAAATCTCAGGTTGATAGTGGTCTGGGAAGGCTTGGGCCAGTTGACAAAGGTTCAAGTTTGAAAAGGGAAATGTTATATGACCACTTGCTTTCTTTTGACAACTTTCTAAATGACAGTTGGGAATTGTAGCATGTTTATGACAGATAAGACTGTGAATGTGCTATTTTTCGCAAGCTGCAAATTGATTTTTATTGAAACTCAAAAAGCAAACCTAAAGGGCCACAAACCTGTTTCTCTATTCCTGTAGGTGTGGTCATGCGGGGGCTCCTTGGAGGTGGTTCCCTGCTCCCGTGTGGCCCACCTGGACCACCACCACCTGCCTTACAGCTTTCCAGACGACGAGCTGATCCAGAGGAACAAGATCCGGGTCGCAGACACCTGGATGGACGCATACAGGAAGATCTTCTACAGGAGAGACACACTTGCTCATTTCATCAGACAGGTGTGTATTACTGGTGTGGATATTTTTCAATACTTGATTTGGGTGTTTAAGATAATATAGGATAAGATAGAACTTTATTGATCCCAATTTGGGAAATGTTTGATGTTTACCAAATATATAAGATTTAAAGACATCATTCTTTTTTTCTCTGCAGTCTGAGAGCCCTAACATCACAGAGCGTCTGCGGCTTAAGAGGAGTCTGGGCTGTAGAAACTTCCACTGGTACCTGACCACAGTTTACCCACAGCTTTACATCCCTCAGGACAGACCTGCACTGTCAGGAGAGGTAGAGAACACACACACACACACACACACACACACACACACACACACACACACACACACACACACACACACACACACACACACAATATGTACTATTCATTGAGGCACATGACACAGTGTGATATATCATTTTTGTTCCCGTTTGAAGCTGTACAATGTCGGCACTGGCAGCTGTGCAGACTACCCTCGAGGGCAGGGGCCAAAGGGCGGGGCCATGAACATAGCACCGTGCAGTGGGACAGGCAGCCAGGTAACCATGACACTGTTATAAAAATCTAAGACGGAAATGTTTACATGACTTGAGTCGGACAGACACATTTGATGACTTGAGACTCAAATAGAAAACTTTACTTGGACTTTAACACCAATGATGTGTGATTTCACATGGATTTGAGCCCTTTGACATAGAACAATTACAACCAAACCCTGAAAACCAAAGATGAAAAAGTATGTTATTTCAAAAGTGTGCCATAAATCATTTAATGTCCCTTAATTTCCTGAAATAGCTAACGTTAACACTATTGTTAACCAGCAATTTCATACTTAATTCTACAAGATCTACTTTGTTTGAATCAATCACTATGTCACTAAGCTCCATTGGTAAAAGTTATACGAAAGACCACCTCTCCAGACAGCTAACACACAGTGGCAAAGATGATCTCTGTTGTCGTTGCAGCACTGCGAACTGAACTCTGAGTTAGAAGTGCGATGGGGTCC